GTGAGTTAATGGTGCCGGTACCGGTGCCACCAGTGAGTTCATGGTGCCGGTACCGGTGCCACCGGTGAGTTCACGGCACCGGTACCGGTGCAACCAGTGAGTTAATGGTGCCGGTACCGGTGCCACCGGTGAGTTCCCGGCACTGGTGCCACCAGTGAGTTAATGGTGCCGGTACCGGTGCCACCAGTGAGTTCATGGCGCCGGTACCGGTGCCACCAGTGAGTTCATGGCGCCGGTACCGGTGCCACCGGTGAGTTCCCGGCACCAGTACCACCGGTGAGCTCATGGCGCCGGTACCAGTGCCACCAGTGAGTTAATGGTGCCGGTACCGGTGCCACCGGTGAGTTAATGGTGCCGGTACCGGTGCCACCGGTGAGTTCACGGCACCAGTACCAGTGCCACCGGTGAGTTCACGGTACCGGTGCCCAGTGAGTTCATGGTACTGGTACCAGTGCCACCGGTGAGTTCATGGCACCGGTACCAGTGCCACTGGTGAGTTCCTGGCACCGGTACCGGTGCCACCAGTGAGTTAATGGTGCCGGTACCAGTGCCACCGGTGAGTTCACGGTGCCGGTGCCACCAGTAAGTTCATGGCGCCGGCACCCGGTACTGGTGCCACCAGTGAGTTCACAGTGCCGGTACTGGTGCCACCAGTGAGTTCATGGTACCGGTACCGGTGCCACCGGTGAGTTCACAGTGCCGGTACTGGTGCCACTGGTGAGTTCCCGGCACTGGTGCCACCGGTGAGTTCCTGGTACCGGTGCCACCGGTGAGTTCACAGCACTGGTACCAGTGCCACCGGTGAGTTCCTGGCGCCGGTGGCACCGGTGAGTTCCCGGCGCCGGTACCAGTGCCACTGGTGAGTTCCTGGTGCCAGTGCCACCAGTGAGTTCATGGCGCCGGTACCGGTGCCACCAGTGAGTTCACGGCACCGGTGCCTGGTGAGTTCATGGCACCGGTACCAGTGCCATGGGTGAGTTCCTGGTGCCAGTGCCACCAGTGAGTTCCCGGCACCGGTGCCACCAGTGAGTTCATGGCACCGGTACCAGTGCCACTAGTGAGTTCCCGGCACCGGTGCCACCGGTGAGTTC